AGGCATAAACAGTATAATAAAACAGTGCATTTATATATCATAAGTATTAGTGGAATTAGTGATGAAATAACTTACCCCAGGTGCTGAGGGTGGTGGGAGTGGTGTCCCTGGCATCCACCTGTGTCCTGTGCACATGTGCGAACGAGGCCACGCCCCCACGCGACGTGATGACGTCACGCGTTGCTGCGGCAACGGAAGTCACATGATGCAGGAAGCAGGAAGTGACCTACATGTAAAAAATTTATACTAAGTTGTTATAGCAACCTGGTAGATTTACCTACACCCAAGTTAAAGATACAGTGCCTGCACCCTCAGCCTAATAAGTAATAAGAGAGTTGTAGTGAGGAAGAAAAATAGCTTAAAGGAAAAATACATATACATAAAACATCTAATTGTACATATTATAAGAAGTGGCTCCCTGTCTCCCATTCAGGAGATTTAATCAAATTGTGATAGAGCTAAAAGACATCATATTATAAAAAGCCTTAAATAAAGGTTAAATCTGCTAAACATAAAGTGCTTATTGATTAAAGTGCTAGTAAATTATGTGACCAAAAATGCCATATATATAAAGTGCATATAGATTATTGTAAAATGCTGAAAATATTATTAATTTCAATTGTGATATATGGAGTTTTATAACCCATATTCAATAAAGTGCTGTCATGTCAGAACATACTTACTAAAAGTGATAGTGCCTATAACTCAAGTGCTGAACTTGCAACTAAAGTGCCAAACACATCAAAGTGCTAAAGATATTGTTCTATGAATTTTAAAGTGAATCACGTGTAACATAATAATAATAGCAATAGCCCTCTACCTATGTACATAAAATCAGATGCCATGTCAAGCACAAATTACACATTATATATATTTTTTTTTAAATAGACATTAAAAACATTATTCTTATTGCATGGGGGTTCATTTTTTACAAAAATGAATGATAAGAAATCATCTCATTCAGTCCTTTGGGTGCAATCGTGTTTAACTGGAAAATCCACTGTGTCTCTTTGTTAAGGAGTAGTTTGCCACGATCACCCCCTCGCCTCGGTATCGGTATGTGGTCTATTGCAATGAATTTTAATGAAGAAAGAGGATGTTTCATGTTTAAAAAATGTTGTGCAACAGGTTGTTCGGAGCGTCCATCTCGGTATGCCACCCATATAGCCGACCTGTGTCCACGTATTCTGTCACATAGAGGGGTTTCGGTTTTGCCGATGTAAGACAACCCACATGAACATGTTAATTTATACACCACAAATGGTGTTTTACATGTGATTGTATGTTGTATTGTAAACACTTTGTTATTATGTGGATGTTGAAAAGTTCTTGACGGGGTCATGTGACTACATGTAACGCACCCTAAACAGCGGACACTACCACGTAATTGATCTGTCGCTTCTTGACTATAGCTTTTAAATGGATCCGTCTGTACCAACATATCCTTCAATGTTTTATTTTGTTTGAAGCAGATCAATGGATTTTCTTTAAACACTTTTGGCAAGGTATCGTCACTTGCCAGCATTTTGTTTGATGATTTTAACTATTTTAGGTGAAGCGTCATTGTAGGCCATTGGAAATACCATCGCTGGTGGTTTTTTGATTTGTATCTTGGCACTGGCATTCCTTGCTTCCTGTTGTGCCCTGAGCAGTTCCTGATGTTGATAACCTCTTTCGCGGAATTTTTGGGTCATCTCCTCTATTTTTTCCTCCATCTTCTGTTGATACGAATTGTTACGTGCAACTCTCAAAAATTGCGCTTTGGGCAATGAGTCCTTTAATTTTTTTCGGATGTGCACTTTTATTGTGCAACAATGTATTTCGGTCTGTATCTTTTTTATATAGGCAGTGTGTAATGCCTTGCTCCTTGATAGAAATTTCCAAATCTAGATATTGAATAATGGATGTACTGATGTTTGATGTAAACCTAATTGGAGTATCTAATTCATTCAGATGCTGAACCATTTCTTGCGCTTCCCCCACTGTTCCTTTCCAAAAAATCAACAGATCGTCGATGTAACGAAAGTATGCCTTGATGTAATGGTTAAATTCAGAGAAGATGTACTTTTTCTCATAAATATGCATGTAGGAGTTAGCATACATAGGGGCCATCGCTGCCCCCATGGAAGTACCTGCAACCTGCAGAAACCAGTCCTCTTCAAACCTAAAGTAGTTATTTTTAAGCGTTAATGCTAATAATACCAATACATATTCTATTGGTGGTCCTTGGAAAGTAGTGGCTGCACAAAGAGTTTGTCTCATAGCCTCAACTCCCTCCTCGTGTGGAATTACCGTGTATAGATTTCTCACATCCATTGTTATTAGTATTATGGGTTCCATGCCAAAGTCAAGTGACTTCATTTGTGTTATAAGTGTTGGTGTGTCCCGTATACAGGTTTGTATTTCAGCTATAGGTCCTTGAAATAAATGGTCTAGCCATTTCGCAATTGGTTCCAGGATCCCTCCAATAGCCGACACTATGGGTCTCCCTGGTGGCTTAATTGGATCTTTGTGTATTTTGGGTATACTGTATATAATGGGAATCCTTGGGTTTTTTTTCAATAGAAAATTATATAGCTGCAAGTCTATATATCCTGCTTCAAGTCCCATTAGTAAGGTATTCTCTATTATTGTTGCAGTTTTATTTGTCGGGTCACTGTTTAGCGGTTGGTAGACAGTGACATCTTGTAATTGTCATCTTATGTCACCTGCATAGTAAGTATAGTCCATGACCACAATACCTCCCCCTTTGTCAGCAGGTCTAATGACAATATTGGGGTCTTCAGCCAAGTTTTTAATATTCTTCATCTGTGATACGGAGATATTTCTCCTAGTGGCTCTATGTTTTCGAATAGTCTCCTGAGTAAGGCTTTCTACAGTAGAAAGGTACGTCTTAATAGAGGCTTTGTGGGTCTGTGGATCAAAATTAGATTTTGGTTTAAATTGTGATGTATGGTGATCCTGTTTGTCAACATATTCATAAGATTGCAACAATTCATGTTCCCTCAATTTATGGTAATAATCTTTGAGGCGCATGTTTCTCCCGAACTTAAACAATTCCACATTCCATTTAAACTGATTAGGGGCAGCAGTGGGTACAAATGAAAGGCCGTGTTCCAAAATTTCTATTTCTTGTTTGTTCAATACTCTATGTGATAGATTGAAAATAGGTGTTATCGCCTCACTGGAGGTTTTCCTCGTGGAGTTGGCTTTGCCCTTCTGTCCACATCGTGTTCTCCTCCTTCTGCGCCTTTCCCTTGGCTCCTTGCGGTAATTTCCCCTTCTGCGTTCCCAAAAAAACTGCCGGATCCCTTAGTGCTTCACTATCTGAGGCAGATTCACCCGAGGTGACATCTACAGTGGAGACTTTGGGCGAATTATGCGTTTACGCTGTCTAGGTGGTCTGCGCATCCTATCACCCGTCAACCACTTGTATACCCGGTGGTCTTGGTAATCCTGGCGTACACGTTCAAATTTAAGTTTTTTAAACTTGATTAATTCATTCTTGTAAGACAACAATTCCTCTTTCAATTTAAGCTTCAACTTGGCCCCCTCCTGGGAGGCTATTAGAACTGCATGTTGTGTTTCCAAGGATTCTATTTTTTATTTATTTTTTGTGTTATGTCAGTCAAATCACTTCTGACATCTTGGATAATTATAAGTATTAAATCCAACGATGCTTTATTGAGCACTGACGTCCAGTCTTTACAGACTTTGGCCTTGCCTCGGCCAATTGTGGGTATATTCATAATTCTAAAACCCCTAGGAATCCTTTTAGCCTTATAATAATCGGATAAAAACATACCATGCAGCTCCAAGTCAATTTGTTTCTGTTGTAAATGCAATAGTTGAAAATAGATGTCTTTAGAAGACAGATTGTGTGGAAGATCCAGTCCCGTTTGTTCCCATAAGATAGCTTTAGCTTCATCTTGTGTAAAGTGCAAAGTATCAGCCTGTTCGGCATATGCCCCTGCTTGCAATAAGAAATCCTCCATTTACTCCTTAATGACAAGCCAAATACTGCTAAATCCACAAATTCAATATTCTGTACAATATATGCCCTAGTGCTGGTGCATAGGTGGGAGACGTTTTCCTAACTCCCCAGTGTATAGCAAAAGTAGAAAAGTCCTTGCACTCACGCATTTTTGGTCACATAATTTACTAGCACTTTAATCAATAAGCACTTTATGTTTAGCAGATTTCACCTTTATTTAAGGCTTTTTATAATATGATGTCTTTTAGCTCTATCACAATTTGATTAAATCTCCTGAATGGGAGACAGGGAGCCACTTCCTATAATATGTACAATTGGATGTTTTATGTATATGTATTTTTCCTTTAAGCTATTTTTCTTCCTCACTACAACTCTCTTATTACTTATTAGGCTGAGGGTGCAGGCACTGTATCTTTAACTTGGGTGTAGGTAAATCTACCAGGTTGCTATAACAACTTAGTATACATTTTTTACATGTAGGTCACTTCCTGCTTCCTGCATCATGTGACTTCCGTTGCCGCGGCAACGCGTGATGTCATCACGTCGCGTGGGGGCGTGGCTTCGTTCGCACATGTGCACAGGACACAGGTGGACGCCAGGGGCACCACTCCCACCACCCTCAGCACCTGGGGTAAGTTATTTCATCACTAATTCCACTAATACTTATGATATATAAATGCACTGTTTTATTATACTGTTTATGCCTGATCCTGATGAAAGTCCCTGCTGGGACTGAAACATTGATCTTTTAATGGATACTTAATAAATTGTTAATTTTAATTCTTGAAAATCCGTGAGTGCTGATCACTATCTGAATTTATTTGAATTTTCCTGGATTACAAGCACCCGGTTATTAAATCATCCAAGCGTGAGTACAAGGACTTTTCTATTTCTGCTATATATATATATAAATAAAAATAATACAAAATATACAGATGTCCATATACATAATTACATAAATAATTTCATATAAATATATATTTGTATTTAAATTCCATGTGCATATTTCTGTAATATTTTTCATAATTAAGTAATAATAACCGCTAAACAAAAGTACCACAAAAGTGTCAAAACAGTCCTGGTCCTTAACGTACAACATGGCCAAAACAGTCTTGTCCTTCAAGGGTTAATATGATTTTTTTTTCTTCATATTATCATTAGACTTGGAGATTCATTTTGTTCTGAACTACAATTCGACCATATTTGGTTCAAAATGTAGCCGAATGAGAAGCCAAATGAAAAGTGCAATGCCTCAGCATGTTCGTTTTGATTCATAATTCTGATTCCTGCCTGTGCTACCAAAAAAGGGATGAGTTCTGTGGAAAAAAAGATGATTGATAGATAGTGGAAAGTCACTACATGTTGATTTTATTCAAGTGAAAAGTGAGCAAAAGAGGGGAAAAAAGTAGGAGCAGTAAAAATATATATTTATATATTATAAATATAGAATATATAAATATAGATTTTTCTACTGCTTCATCTGTTTTCTTCCTTATTTTTCCTCCCTTGGTTACTTTTTTTACTTGATTTGTGAACCAAATTGTGGGAAATGGTAAACCTATCGGTGATCAGAAAATATATACCGTATTTTCCGGCGTATAAGATGACTGGGCGTATAAGACAACCCCCAACTTTTCCAGTTAAAATATAGAGTTTGGGATATACTCGCAATATAAGACTACTCCTCTTCCAACGCACACCAAATAAAAATTAGCCATGATGTACAGTGAGCAGACAGAGCTACACAGCAAGACATTAAATAATGATAATCTGAAATAGCTTTTAAAGCCCAGGTATGTGCCAGGCTGTTTGGGCATATAATCCATGCCTGCTGGTCTAGCACACAGGAGGCTAATTGTGATATATGCGCATCTTGCCAATGCTTAGCCCTTTATTCTGCTGTGACTACCGTATTTTAAACCTGGCTGGACTCGGCTACCTGGACTTGGGGAATTTATGGGGCGCATAGGGCAAACACTACCAAGGCTGGGCGAAATGGGGAAACTGTACTCAGACTGGGGTGGCATGGGGAAAACACTATACCAGCTTGTTGGCATTGTGAAAAGTGCACTCATGATGTGTGGAATGGAGCATACACTATATAGAATGTTCTTCTTACTACTCCCCCTCCCTCCCTCTGTCCTTCTTACTCCCCCTCCCTCCCTATTTTTTTTTACTAACCCCTCCGTTCTTTTTACTTTCTTTTTACTCCCCCCCCTTTTTTTTACTACCCTCCCCCCCCCAATCCTCCCTACATTCTTCTCACCTCCCCTTCCCTGTGTAGCATGGGTGACCCCCCCCCAATCCTCCCTACATTCTTCTCACCTTCCTCTTCATCCTGTCAGTCCGGCCGGGTACCGCGCGGTACAGGAGATTCAGTTACCTGTTCCCGGCCGGACTGACAGGAAGTGCACACTGAGCTCGGCCACCCACGCTACACAGGGAAGGGGAGGTGAGGAGAGAGGCAGTGCTGCAGCCACCTGAGGCTCTCTATAGAGCGCTCAGGCGGCTGCAGTGTTAGAAGGGCCGGCGATGGGGGTGCAGGGCGCCCCCTCCTATATGGCGCCCTAGGCAGCCATATAGACAACCCCCAACTTTTAGGAAACCCTATACCCGGCGTATAAGACGTCCCCCGACTTTTGAGAAGATTTTACAGGGTTAAAAAGTCGTTTTATACACCGGAAAATATGGTACATAATATTTATATTTTACATTACGTTAGATCCCTTTTGATTTGTCGGATTAATTTCCAAAATCAGTTTTTCATTACAGAAATTTTGTTGAGCAGGGGTTCAAATGTTTTGCGGAAGTCACGTGTGACCGACCGCAAGCATGGCTTTCCTGCCCAAAATAGTTCCACAGATTTATGCTAAGCAGCCCTCTATTCTGGAGATATTTGGCTTAAGTGGTAGTGGTAATTTAATTATCTCCAGGTACAGAAGATATCTCTAAGTCAAAAACTGTTACAAAAACCACATAAAAATACATAACTCATATAATACAATATTTAACCTATATGTCCAACATATCCTCAAATAGCTTGGATCTGAGCGCTCAATGTGACGAACTACACTTCGCCACTGACTTTTGGAGAGGCCTGCTTGCCAGCCTCTTGCCCTGTGACTATAGCCCCTGGAGTGTATTGCCATTTAAAAAGTCTATTTGGGCTTACTGGATTTTTAAAACACTTTTTCAGCCCCTTTAAATCCATGGGAAAATGTGCCTCTTCCCCTTGAAACTGGCTGCTTTGTCCCTCCTCAATCTCTCATCAGCCCTTGCTATTGTTTAACCCCATGACGATCCAACTATATTTGTGGGATCTGAGTGCTTTTCGGACATATTGAGCGCTCAGATCCAAGCTATCTGGGGATATGTTGGACATATAGGTTAAACATTGTATTACATGTGTAGCGGAGCTGCAATATTAAATCCCAATATCTCCGCTGGTACAGAAAGTAATCCAAAGTAAAGCGCTGGAAAAGAAGGCAATATCCCAAATCCCCCAGTAACCGGACGAAACACAGTTCTGGGAGTCAACTGACAATTTTATTCACAGCTCCAGTATTTATGCAATTCCCCATGCAAGGGGTTTCCTTAGTTACTTTACAGGGGTATTACAGTAGAGGACTACATGGGGAACTGAATATACAAGGCATTTCTCCCACCATGTATTGCTGTACATGAGGGATACTCCCACTAGAATATCCTGTTAAGTGGATTATCCCTCCGTACAGCAGAACCGGGTTTTAACATAGAAATGTATAACTTTAACATTATTCGTGGGATTATAATAAATGACCGTTCAGTAGAAAGCTGGGGTCTGAGCGCACACTTCATGAAAGTACCGCTCAGATCCCAGCGTAAATAACCGAACGCCACACAAAACATACTTTTATATTAAATTCCCCTCAAAGTACAGAACAACTATTGAGAACCCAAATACCGAAAGACCGGGGCTCCCGAACGGCCTGGAAGTCCAGCGGTGTCCGCGCCGTCAAGTAGCCGATTTTAGTTCCAGGCGCTCGACGACCAAACACCGCTGGGCTAACAAAGGATCCAAGATGGCCGACCGCCACGTGGTCGGTAGCCGAACGACGGCCACCTAGGAAAGCAATTAACTACCGATTGCAACATTGCGGGTGGGCTCCCGTTCGGTACCTTATTCGTTTCACGAACAGTGTTTAGAGTCACTGTTCGTGAAACTCCCACATGCATGCTAGCGGCTTTCGGCTGTTAGCCTATGCATGCTCTCTATTCTAAAACACACAAATACATTTTTACACCAGATTAACACAGCTTCTTCAGACAACGTTTAAATGTTCTGCAATATGACCTAAAGTGGCTAGGTTTGCCACAATATGAGTTATGTATATTTATGTAGTTTTTGACTTTGACATAATTGGCTTACCACAGCCACTTAAGCCAAATATCTCCAGGATAGAGGAGAAGATAGACCAGCCACACAGCCTAACTCTGTGGAACTGTTTTGGGCATGAAAGCCATGCTTGCGCTCGGTCAAATATGACTTCCATAAAACTTTTGAACCCCTGCTCTGATCTGGGTGTTTTTGGATATGTTCTTCACTCAGGGATGTAAGATTTATGGGGATATGTTGCTGTTTTGGGGGTTTTTTGTGTTTTGGGTAAAAACTATATATTTTCTGCCTGTGATAATTAAGTTAGCCCATTGTGTTCAGTAATTGTATCACAGGCAGAGCAGGGGTGTTTGTGTGCCTTAGCTGGGAGTGTCTGACTGTACTGTACTGTGTTCATTGGCTGTTGTAACTTTGTGTCCTGTGTACCACATGGTCCACGTGGGTGGTAACCTTGTGGAAAAATGTGTATATAAGAAAGTCCTGTGTGCTCATTAAAACAGATCAACTTGATCCTCAACTTGCAGCCTTGACTTGTGTTTAGTGGGGACAGCTATAATCACTACAGGGATTTCTATGGTCTGCATATTCCCTTAGCTTCACTGAGCTCTTGTAAGAGCTCTTGTTCCTGATCCTGCTTCACTCTTTGGGAGGAAGAGAGGTTCCCCCACTGGAACCTGGAACCTTGTCGTAGGGTAGGAGATGGCGAGACCCCAACCCAGCAGTGGCAGTTCGTGGAGTCTGCAGTACTTATGGTGTCTCCGGTGCTGATGGTCCTTGGTGAGCGCTGTGACAGAACCATCTGTCTTTAAAACTACTGTCATTCCCCTTGGTTCGTCTGTTTGTTTGGCTGTTTCCCTGTCTGTACAGTCCCCTTTTAACGAACAATTTGCCGAACGGCCGGCCACACAGCATGGAAGTGTGCTGCTTGTTAAGCTCTTGACCCCATCAGAATGTTGAGGTTAACCACAGACACTTCCTAATTGTCGAATGTCGGCTGGATGGTCGTCGTTCGTATGAACGAATACGTGGAGGCGGCCATCTTGGACATACGAATGCCCAGCGGTGTTCGTCGACAATATTGTGGAACTAAAAACGGCTACTATATTCACACGAACACCGCCCTTCATTTGTTTCCCGTTCATACGAACACCATCTGTGTTTTTTTATATGAACATAGCCAACTCAGATAGCTATCCCATGGAGCCCATTCGTATAATGAAAGGACTAAGTGAAAGATTTTGGCTCCATGGCGATTGAACTGTACGCATCCAATCTGAGCACTGTTCGGTAGTTTTGTGCACTCAGATCCAAGCTATCTGGGGATATGTTGAATGTATATGCTTTATTCTGTATTTTATAACTTGTGGATTTATATGTATTTTTCTCCCTGTGTGTAAAAAGGTTAGTCTCTATCCTCGGAGATAATTGAGTTACTTCCCAATTATCTCCAGGGTTTAGAGGAGGCATTACAATGTACTTGTGGGAGTGTTTAACTGTGTATGTCTGTGATTGGTAACTGTGTAAAAATTGTCACAGTTATCCACCATGTCCCCTAGGGGAGTGTCCACCTGGTGGAAGACCTGCATAAACACCAGGCTGGTAGCCTCATTAAACGAGATCACTGCTCGACCCTCAATACGGAGCCTCATCTTGTACTTGGGGGGATTTATTCGTATGGTTTTTACTGTTTGGCTGTTTGGAGCATTTGTATGGTGTGGAGTATTCGTATGGTTCCTGTTCGGCTAATTGGAGTGTTCGTTAGCTGCCTCTGCATTCGGAAAGGGACATCCTCAATGGCTTTAACCCTTCGTATACCTGGGGGTGCCATTACAACTGGTGGCAAGCAGCGGGATGGTTCTCACAGCCCAGAAGGACTTCTACACAAGAACACAAGCCGATGGAGCTAACATAACCGGCCCAGCATAACGGACAGAACACCCAAGAAGGTACATTTTGATCGGGCTGTTAACCTAAGACTGGCGTATTATGGTCCTAACCCCACAGTGGACATTATTGACCGGGTTATAGCAGCTGTGGAGGCAAGTCGACTACAGCAAAGAGCCAAAGTCCCAGCAGAAAGGAGGAAAGTACACTTTGCTGCTTTTAAAAATTTGTTGAAGCAGAAGGAGAAATTGATGGATATCTTGTCGATTTTGAATTGCAATGTGCCCAACACCAGGTACCCACAGAGGAATGGGTTACCATTTGTGGCGGAACAGACCTCGCCACGTGTTCTCCTACTTCTGACTATGGCCCTGGGATATATGGCATTTGAAAACACTATTTGTGCCCTGTGACAAAACTGGAGATTGTGCACAAATATGACTATTGTCCATATGTTTTATGATTCCCTTCGTTTGTTGCACTGTTCCCCATGTGTTTCATCTGTTGGTCCGGCTGGATAGACTACCAGACAAACTGTGGAGTTACTGGGTGGCCACCATTTCATGTATCAGAGGCACATGGTGAGAATAATGGATGAAGCACATGGTGAGAACAATGGATGGCGGCCATTTTAACTCACAGACACTGTTTTGACTTTTCTACACGGTGCCATCTCGCCGGTATTTGGTGCACAAAGACATCGTTCAGTAGTTTTAAACTACAGAACAGGGGGACACATTTAACAGTAATTATTTTTCATATAGCCTGTATATGTTCTGCGGAATCTGCATTAAACCGTATCTTCCAAACTACTGAACGGATCTGGGTGAATTTGGGATATGTGGTTCACCCAGATCTCCCGGTTCCGAGGATATTTTTTATGGGGTTATTGCGTGTTTTGGGGTCCCTGTTGTAACGGAGCTCCCAGTACTCCGACCGAGTACCCTCCGTTGATGGACGCTTCCTAGCTTGCGCCGAGGACCACAAGCACCACACCAGATACCACAACCACTGCAGACTCCGCAACCGCCGTAGCTTGACTGGATCAGCTTCTGTCCTCCAGGACCGTGTGGGAAAGACCTCTTCCTTCCACTCTGTATGAACTTCCAGCATCCAGGACTGTGTGGGGAAGACCTCTCCTCCAAGGAGAGCGTAACAGGAGCAGCTCTTAAAAGAGCTAAGTGATTAAGGCTCAAGGGAGTATGCAGAGCATAGCATAGCTGGTGATTTC